AAGAAATTTCAGAAATTTTCAATTTATTTTTAAAAACTTCACAATAAATTTCAGAATTTTCGAGTTTTTATCTCACAAACTTCACAAAATATTTCAGAAGTTTTTAATAACTTTCATAAACTTCACAAGAGAATTCAGAAATTTATAATACTTTTCATAAACTTCACAAGACATTTCAGAAGTTTTTAATAATTTTCATAAACTTCACAAGAGAATTCAGAAATTTATAATACTTTTCATAAACTTCACAAGACATTTCAGAAGTTTTTAATAATTTTCATAAACTTCACAAGAGAATTCAGAAATTTATAATACTTTTCATAAACTTCACAAGACATTTCAGAAGTTTTTAATAATTTTCAGAAACTTTACAAGAGATTTCAGAAATTTTTAATATTTTTCATAAACTTCACAAGATATTTCAGAAATTTTTGAATATTTTTCTTGTGAAGTATATGATTTTTTTGAAAATTAATTTATTTCTATAATTTAGACCAGCTCCCATCCCCTGTCCCAAAGCTTACATTAGCAACATCACAAATCATACCAATAAAATTTGATATTACTGTCACAATTCCGAAAAATCATCTCAATTCACAAAAGCGATGGCATTTAAAAATGTCCAATAAAATTTCTTATTGAGCGACTTTGTAGCTTTCTAGTCTTTGTCAAATATTTGCCGTCCTCAAAATGTCTTATTTATTCTTTATGACCTCACGAAAGACTTTGAAACATAAATTTTTTGTGCTGACTGCTTAGCTGCCAGAATTTACTGCCAATAAGTAGTCAATGAGACGTGTGTAAGACCTTTTTTACAAGATTTAACACAAAAAAGGATTTTTATGTCTGTTCGTCAATGGCTAAAAGCAGTTCATTCGATGTGTCCGCGATATGACTTTATAAGCAAGAATGAAGAAAATAATCAATAAATTTTTTCACCCCACGCGATAGCTGTTGTCATTATTCTACGGAAATAAGTGTCGATGACTTGGAAATTCCCCAAAATAGCTTGATATCACGTAAGAATTTTATGCACAAATTCTAGTGAAATTGGAAACGGGGAAAGTTTTGTGTTTGTAGTTCCACGCACTTCCACACGTCAAACTTATCGATTTTCCAATTCATTTGTGTGTTAAACTTGTTGTTGTTGTGGTTTTTTTTAAGGAAAAGTATTCTTTAGAAGTTCTTCTTTCCCCGATCAACACTCATTAAACTTTTTCCTGTTTTTGATTTATTTTGATGTCGGTATTGAGGATAGATAAAGTTTTTCTTCCTTGTTTCAAATTTATTGAGTCGATGAAAGCAATTAAACTTATTGCAGTTGTGCAAGAAAAATAGAAATTGAGGGAGAGAAGTTGAGTTGGGGGTAATTTGTGGTTTTTGGTGTGCATTTTTTTGGAAATGAGAGAGGTTCTTTAGTAAAAAAGTTATAGAAGAAGTAATGTGGCTATGAAAAATAATATTTATATGAGGGGCTTGAACCCACGACGTCATAATTGGATCATCAATATTAGAACTTAACAATTACGCCTTTGAGTCATTCTTTTAATTGAATCCATTTTGGCAAAGTGCATATCAACTCTTTGAAGACATTCCACTCGAGTACCATCAATTCCTCCAAACTTCTATCCCTTGATAAAAATCCTTTATCCAACAAACAGAAGAAATCTACTCTTCAAAAATAACAAGCTATAAACTGTCTGATAAAAATCAGGAAATTCTTTCTGTAGAAAAATAATTCGTCTGAATTGAAGACGATTGAACTGAAGGCAATAATGAAAAAATCGGAAAGAAATGAAAGAAAAGATTTTATAGAAGTCAATTGATGTCAAAACAAGAAGCTTTCAAGTTTGTTGAGATTTTGTAGAATTGTTTTGAAGAAAAAAGTCATCAACAATAAAAACTAGTTGTTGGATTAATTGGGATGGTGCTTATGAGAGATAAGGAGTAAAAACTTGTGGAAATAATGTTTTGTAAGTGGAGCTGGAAAGTTTTGTTGAAGGATTTATTGAACAGCTGATTCAGCAAATTTGACATTTTTAAAAATCGTTACAAAATTTTATAATTTTCCCGCCATTTTGTTAAAAAATTTGAAATGACTTTTTTCCAATTTACAAACATTAATATCTTTAAAAATTAAGCATGATCCTGCTTGCTCACTTTTAAACTATAGTTTACAGTTATTCAATAAACAAACAAGCAATTATTGAACCTTAAATTCACTTCCGAAAACTTCAAGTGGAGAATGTAAACAAATTGTTCAAAATTTCCATTTCAAAATTATTCCCACAATATTTTCTAACTTAATTAAGCTCGGCATGTGAATAATCGCATTTAAATTCCCTCAGGGTCATTCTACTTCTCACGTAGTCTCACTAAGTAAGCTCAATCATGCCTGAAAAATTCTGTACACAAATCAAAATTCCATCAAAGCAAATCAAATTATATTTTTTGAATGGATAATCAAAAATTCATCAACAATGACTTTATGGCTTATATTAAGTACCGAAATTCCCATTAATATTTTTTTTCTTATTTAAACAAATCAGTTAGTTTATAAATTAAGCAACAAAAGTCCATAAAACAGCGGTCATTCAAGCTGTAATTGTGCATAGACATTATTGTAAAGAAAAATGAAATGAATAGTCTTGACAGCGGCAATTTGCTGTTCTTATTATTTCCATTACTCTAGCCACAATTATCAGAGTAAAGGTCAGTGGGTAATTATTGCAAGAAATTGCAAATACGAGAGATTTTTTAAATGACCGCAAATTTGTTTAAAAATAGCAACAAAAAAGATTGAAGTTTAAAGCAATTAATTCCAGCAAAAGGAATAAATTAATTAAATGACTTTATTGTGTTGATTCATGCACAAGTTGAGAGACCAAAAAGTCAATGGAACGACAAAAAATTATGTCAAATTGTGCTTGTATCTAAACTACATGTGCAGCTCATCAGGCACTTTCACGAAAAAATTTGAGCATAAATTAATTATAGAAAGCTTGTGACATTTAATTTGTATGACCACATACATATGATTGCTTGCTCTTTGTCGTCATTTCTCTTCTTAGTTATGTTTTTATTTTTTTGTGCAGTTTATTATGAATATGTATGCTCATTTTGGCTTGTCTTGTTTCTTTCTCTGTAATTTGAGAATGAAATGAGCGTAAGGTTTTGTAGCGACTGATAGCTGCCACTTTTTTGAAGCGATTTACAAGAAGAATTTTGAATAATTAAAAGACAAAGTTAGAAAAAAATTAAAAATACTTTTTGAAGTGGCAAGTCCATGGAAAAATTAGAATTTTTGATTTCTCGTTTAATTATGAATTAAAATAGATAATAATTCAATTTATCTTTAATATCCTCTGGGATTCATTTTAAGATCCAAAAATCTAGTAAAAATTTAAAACATGATTGACTTTGGATTATTTTAATTTCTTTTAAATTTTTTTAAATTGTATTGATTTTCTTTGAATAAATGTTGATGTATCACAAGCCAAGCAATAAAAGCATCGACTTTTGATTAAAAAATTTCATTCTAAACTCAAAAAATGCGCCAGTTTTTCTAACTCAAGCTATTAGATCATAATGCATCATAATTTTTTGTCTGCATGCAGCAATGCTTATTGAAAAAACATGTTTATTGACTTATGAGCGCATGTGATTAAATTACTTGTTAATTGACAATTTAATGAATTAAAAGATGCAATTCTATGTGATGCTTGGTGGTCGTCCAGTTCATGTGAATTATGAAATTGAAAGTTTTTTTTTATTGTGGGAAAGAAGAAGTTGGGGAATAATATGAATATGTATGTGGGGTTATTGAAATTGAGCGCGGTTTTCTCAAGAAGGAACATTTTTAATCGAATTTGGAACCTAGAAGAATCCTAGCTTTAAATATATTATATTATTTATAAAAAAGAGCTAAGTCAGAGCTATTTTTTTTAAAAAATGACAAAAAATTTCATCATCGAGTAAACCGCGATCAATGTGCTTAGTTTCAAAGTGTATAAAAATTAATTCCGATTTTATTCATACGACGACCTTAACGTATTTTTTTATGACCCCTTTGATAATTGAATAAAAAATTCAGTTATTTTTTTCTATGTTCAAAAGTGGCAATTCCAACACTTATTATCACAACTATTAATAGAAAATATAAAACATAAAGAAAATTTGTTTTAAATTGAGCTGTATCAGTCTTTGTTTACTTTCAGATCAACATATGAGATGCGATGCTACTTTTTTGTGTAGATTTCGAGTGTATTTTAAGACTTGAAAGTACAATTTTTAGACACTTATTTTTAAGTATTTCATGATTTGCGTAAGAGAAGATTTACATTTTTTGTTGACAGTCGTATTTATTGTTTCTGATAAGACAAGCTTCGACACATATTGATGCGAATTTTGAGAGATCTATGAGACTAAGTTTTGAATAATTGGAGCAGTTTGTATGGAATTGTGGACTTTTTGGTTTGGGATGAAATAATATTTGATTTAGAAATTGGATTTGTGATGATTGTGTGGCTATTGTGAGCTACTTATCTATACAGTATAAGGCACAGTCAAATAAGAGCACTCAATTAGTCTTAGGCTTGTAGGCTAATGAACTTAAAGGATCAAAACTAAGCTGGATAACTTTTTGGAGTCCGAATCATATTAATTAAAGGATCTAGACTGCATTGGATCCTCATGCTTAATTTATTGGATGTACCCAAATGTAAATCATAGAGTATGATTAAGTGTATTACTTAAAACAGTTCACATGCTGTTAAAAAGTCTTGACGAAGAATAACAGTCCTGACATTTCTGAGAAAATCTATAAGTTCGAATCCTAGCTAACCAAGTCTTTGACTTTCCTTAAGATTTCATTATCAGACTCAAACTAAGTGTGTATCCAAGATTCACAAGCTTTTCACTAAGCTCAGCATTTGCCTCAATTATTATTCACAGCATTACTAACTCCAGTCACGCAATTATCAACCAAAAATTACACTCACCGTTTACTTCCAGTCGGCGATTCCTTTAAACTACTATTATTACTGCCATTATTTTTATAACCAGCACAACTATTTCGTTTGGCAATAGCACCAGTAGATTCCGTCGACACAATACTATGATCATCCGATGGCGGTGTTTTAATATTTGATGTTGCACGCTTAACAGCACCGCTAGTCACTTTCGATTTCACATTATCAAATTTCTTTTTGCTATTCTTATTTTCAGCAATTTTATTCATAACTGGCTCCCATTTGCCATTCATGCACTTCTTTGTCACTGTCTTGTCATTATTATTCATCTTAATACCGGCACCACGCGACGACATTTCGTGCTTCTTTAATCCAAAATTTGCCTCATTCTTAAATGTCTTTCGATTTGTTCCGCTCAATTTTTTACTCGCACTTGCCGTCACTTTCTTCGCACTACTACCGTCACTTATGATCATTTGCTTGTCACAATCATCGTTTGTCATGCAACATGACTTCGTTGAGCCGAATGATGATGTATCATTGATAAGATTTATTGTCTCGACACTAACGGCACGTTCGTCCATAGCGCTGCATAATGACGATGATGTCTCATTTATAAAGTCTCTTGGACGATCGATGTGCTGTGTTGGTGATGGTGTTGTTGTCACATTCAGTTTCTTTTGACTATAAGCAGTTCCATTACTTGTAATCGTGTCAGATGATAAGTCGGGTGACATGTCATTAGCAAATTGATGTTGTTGTTGCTGTTGATGGAGATTCTCTCGATTCTCAGCGATACGATTGAGTAAGTCATCATCTCCGCGATTTTCTACGTCTGTAAAGACACCGCTTGATTCCATACACGAGTCACTTTCATTTTGTTGTGGTTGTTGTTGAAAAATGACATTTGCACCTTGCAGCATTGGTCCATAAAGATGTCCATCAATGACTTGTGCTCGTCGCTGGTTCTCACGTTGATGAAAAATATCGTCAGCATCACTTTCTGTGAAAAAGTCCGAATCTGTCATTGGATCTTGTCGCTGTCTGTGAATTGGTGCAGCTGCTGGTGGAGCTTGATTCCAATTAAGTGCAGGTGCAGGTGGATTTCGTGGCACTTTTGAAGGCGATTGATCCATAGCACCGCGACTTGCTGGACGTGACATTTCACCATCACCAATATATCCAGTGTCTAAGGATGTAATGCTTGTAATGCTTGTTATAATACTTGTAGATACTTTTGATGTCACTGACTTTGTCATTTCCGTTTTTGGGTCACTTTCAGCTTGAGAAACTTCCTGGTGCATTGATGTTGTTGTTGAGGAAACTTGATGATTTTGTACAGGCTGTTGCATCACTTCCTCCATTTTAACACCAACCGGATCAAGTGGAAGTTCCTCTGGCGATGGTGTCTGATCAACACGATAATGATGACTCAATTTATGTCCAGGAATAAGTGGAAGTTCTAAATTATTTGTGTGATTTGTATTTGTCGAATCCAAAAACTCCTTCATCTGATCCGGTGTCAAAATGCCAAGACTCTCATCAACATCAAATGATCCCTGCTTGTCAGTTGGTGAGGCTTTTTGCATTGTTGATGACATGGATGTGTCACAAAGCTCAATAGAGCAGTCAAGCGTACATTCAGTAATGTCTAAACCAAAAGAAAATCGCTTTTGGGCATCAACTCGGGCCTCATTCATTCTCATGACGACACCAGCTCCCTGTGCATCACATTCATCAACATCCATAGCTGTCTGTGCTATTTCATCATTGTGACATAAAATACGTGCTGAAGCATCGGTGGGAAGGTGATGATTGAAAAATGGTCCGCACCTCAATTGACTATTTACAAAGCTGACATTCTCATTGTCCATTGGGGATACATTAAGTATATCCTCAGATCCCCATATCGGTGACTTTGTCAATGACAATGATGAGCCCAGCAGGTCATTTCCACTCTTACGTAGTCGAGCGATTCTCGTTTGATTACTTATGATTGAATTTAAACTATCACGACTTTTTGATACGGCACGTTGTGTATTGCTGGGTTTATCTTTAGCATCAGGCAGAGAATTAACGGAACCGATTGACGGTGTCGCATTAAGTCCACGTGTTGGTGACTTTATAAAAGTTCCATCTCGTCGACAAAGATCAAAAGTTGGCTGATGTGATTGAATGCTCTCCTTACTCGCATATCGAAGCATATTATCGTCACTTCCAACTAAATCTATTGTTTCATCGATCAACATTTGATCATCGTCGCCATTCACTTCCTTATTATTACTTTGACTAGATTCAATTTTTTGAATGTGACTACTACTCATCGAAAATTGTCTCGTCATTATCCTCGACGTGAGATTTGATAAGCTCGATTTTGTAATTTGTGTTATTTTTTGCGTAACTGCCGTCGGTCGTACAAAGCTAGACAGTGGACCACCTATGTCTGTTGGTCGTGCAAGTTTTGTCTTTATTTGATTAGTGTCGTTCGATGGCGCTGTCATTTTTGTTGATTGTGTGGTGGCTGATGTGCCAGGCATTGGAATGCGTGAGGAAAAACCTCTCATTGGTATACGTGATGAGTGATTATCCTGCAAATAAATGAAATAATTTTTAATTTTAAATAGGCAAAAAGTTTATTTTTTAATCAACAATAAAGCCCAGAAGCTGCTTCAAAGCCAACAGACTGCAAAATTGAGTGAAAATTATCATCGAGATAATTTTGTGACTATTGTACCAGAAAATGTTGTGTGCATTTATTGTAGCCTTAAACAATTGAATTTTAGAGATGATAAAATCGGATATTTTAGTAAATACAAATATAGGATGCCTGAAAGTTTATGCTTAAATGACTATATGCTATTTATTTCAGGAACAATCGATTATGTTATTTTGAATTATGTGTGCTTTATCTTGTAGCTGGATAAAGCTTAATAGAGTTTAAAAATTTGGGATTATGCATCACAAAAACTTCACTTGCCAAATTTCTCAAAAGTAATAAAATTAATCAAAGAATGAGCATTTACTGAGAATTTAAAGAATTTCATACTGAATCACTCTTGTATGAATATTCTCACGTCATTTTCTTTATCAATTTTATAGCATAAAGTGCTCAATTTTTACTTACATTCCGTTCATATTCTCTCTGAAAGTTGATTAAACAAGATGTGGGGACAGTTCTTTGTGACTCAAGTTTTAATCATTGTAAGAATTTTTTAAATACGTTGTTAATTATTATAATAAAAATATAATGTGATGTGTTGCTAAGATTTTGGAGTTTAGATTGGCATTTAAGTGAAGCTATGCATTTAAGCATGACTTAAAATTAGAGTATATGTCATTACCAAGATAAACTGATAAATTGCATTTTGATGATTTTTGATCATTTTTGATAATTTAATCATTGCTGCACTCTTAGTCATTACTAGTCTGTAGAGTATAACTCATATTAGGAATGGATTATTGACTTATAACAGTGTTGTCCTAAGTTTTTGAACAACGGCACAGTTTAGGGGTAAGCCATGAGGACAATCGCACAGAGCATGCGGCTTGGGTCAGTACCAAAAATTTTCTACGGCACACCATAGTTTGTACAACACTGTCATATAATAATAGATAAGGTGTTAATCCTTAAGAATACTCGATAACTTTTAGATGATAGAAAAATCAGTGTAGCTTAGACATCTACAAGAAGTAGACCGTTTCTTATGAACCTTTAGTGACTTTGATTTTCTGGACTTATAATCTCTGGACTTATAGTCTTTGGACTTATAGTCTCTGGACGTATAATCCAGCATCTATCCTAACCCAGAATCGATACATCACACTTGTGAAGATAAAATTTGACTGTGGCTAGCATAGTTGCCTTAGAAACCGACTAATGGTGCTGCGTTGGAATATTTTTGGCATAAAAACATAGAAAAACAATGAAAAATATTCAAACTTATGAACATAATGTTTCTAAAGGGCGATTCCATGGGTAAATGGAACTGAAAATTTTTTGTTCAAAAACTTTTTTAGCTTTTTCTGCTTAAATATACATATTTCAACATATATTTTCACTAAATAAGACTTATTATTCATCAATTCATGTGTTATTAGCATTTAATCGTCTTAATTATGCTGCATTTTGACAAAAATATGTAATATGTTTTGCAATAATCGGTTGAAAGTTGACCGATTAAGTGGTGTTTTCCCCAATTTTCTCCTTAATTACAGTAGAAAGACATACAAATAAGATATTGTTTTAAAGCACAGGCGATTTCACATGTGTTTATCATAGATTTGTAACACAACAATGGATATTCAAAGAAATATTGATGAAAATTTAAAAATCAATTTTTTGTAAAGTTGACCGATTAAGTTTGGTTTTTTTAAAATATCTTTTGTCAGACAGATTTAACTAAAAGATTATGCACTAAAATACATAAATACCATAATAATAAATAAAATAAATCTTAAATATGGCGTTAAATGAAGTTAATTAAGGAAATATTTACAAAAAATTGAGTTGAGAAAAAAAAAATCACTCATGGAATCGCCCTAAAGCTAAAAAGTCATACTTAATAATAATTTACGTAAGACTAGCCAGATAATCGCCAATCAAGTAAGATTTTTAAATTCTGAATTATCTTGACATGAAAGTGCTCTGACTAAAATGTATTATAATGACAAGTATGACTCAAAAAACCAAAATAAACTTTCAAAAATCATTATTTGAGTGAAATTGTATTACTTAATAAACTTAATCGGGGTCAGTGCTACATCGAACTTCTAATTATTCTTCCTACATCCACATTTTTTGCTACCGCAAATGACTCAATATTGAAGCTTTTTCTTCTCCTAATTTGCATTTCATTTGTTACTGGACGTGTATACATTTCCATAATGATTAAGTCATAATAATTATAACAAAAAGAGCCGAGCCAGATGCGGAGAATAAAACAGAAATGTGATAATGCGGAAGCTTTGTATGTTTACATCAAAATAGAGCACAAAAAACCTTAAATTGCACATATTAATGAGATGATGACCTTAAATTATTGTGACATTTGAAGCTTATTAATTAGTAAGTTCTAATTGAGTCATGGAGACTAATTAAAATCAAAAGGTTGAAATAAAGAGGAAATCAATGGTTTTTACTCTTATAAGCTAGTTAATAGCTTTATGTGAAGCTAGGTTCTAATGTAAAATAAATTTCCAATGATTTACTGAATTGCAAGCTTGTACACTACTCCAGGACTTATCCTAGTAAGAGTGGTACTATATCTAGTGTGGCTATACCGCAGGAATAACATATAACTTAAGTCATGCCAATCTATCGAACACATCAACTCAAAAATCTTCAAATCCACAACATCAATTTACTTAATAAATAATCTAATCCACAAAACATTCACATCCATTTCCAGCTATTTGCATACCCTTATCAGTCATCATCATCTACAAATCTACCGTCATTTGTCAAACTTATTGGTCAAATTAAGGAATCAAAGAAGAATTCCGCTTACTGCTCATCAAATGACATTAAATTCTCAACCAAGTACAAGAAGACATTCCAGCTCGTCGAACTTCAGTCTTGCGATAATTCATTGGACGTGATTACAACAAAATTACCAAAAATCCTAAATGACTCACCAAATTGCTTTATTGTTGTTATAAGAAGCAACGTGACTGATAAGAACTTTGAGACGAGACTTGTAGACATTTTGGAAGAAGAAGCAACTCGGCCGATTATTGTAGATTTTTATAGGAAAACTGAGAGAACTGAGAAGCTTTACGTCATCGACAAGAGTAAGACGAGAACAAAGACTAATAACTCACTAGAATATGCAAAGAATTTCATCAATAAAGTCATTGGATATGACTATAATGTTGGTTCAACTGAGTTCTCTGAAGGTCGCTCTGATATTATTAAGGATGCGATGACTAATGGCTGTTCATTGTGCATTAGTTTCGCACAGCTTATTGACTATAGATTTACGTGGTACTTAAAGATTCATGACGATGAAATTGATGCCTTAAACTGTGATACTGACTGCTTTAGAGCATTACTGAAATTTCCATACGACTTCAATTTTAACAGTTCCTATAAAGATGTTTATGAGCTATTTTACAGCTACTACATTGATCTATTAAGAGACACATCGATGTCAGCCACGTCAATCAATAAGAAAAATTATACAGTAAAGGATTTTCTTGAAGAAACTGAAGTTCGATTGGATATGGATGGACTAGCTGGATTAGCTTGGAATGAAGAAGAATATCAAGTTTTTGAGTTTCTAATCCGTGCTGATCTTCCATTTCCTGACAAATTCATCCACGACCGTGAAAATGAATTAAGTTATGGAATAAGCAAGAACAAGTATGTCAAAAGTTTAGAGAATTACATCCAAGAACTTGAAAGCTTTCATCGTCATATCCAAAAAGGAAATTTCAGGAAAGTCAAAATATTCTTAAGCAGCAATCCACACCTTGTGTTCGGCAGAAACATTGATAACAAAAGTGCCTTAAAAGCTGCCTTCGATAGCAATCAAATGGAAGTCTTTTCATACTTAAAATCTCAAGGAATGAGCTTTAGTAACTTTAAGGAAGTTGGAGAATACTCAAAAGTTAAAAATAAGTACAAAGACAACAAGAGGAAGCAACTCCGTCAATTTAACAGGAAGTTTTTAACTCCAGCAATTGAAACTGAATTAATCACAAAAGTCATGCAAAAGTCATCATTTACATACGATCATCATGTCCATGACGAGAAGGAAATTAAGTACACAATAAGACGTTCTTATGAAAAGATTCAATCAACGGCACGAGAGATTTTGGAGATTGTGGCAGCTTCAAATGAGCTGCAAATTAATTTTGACTTTACAAATTCAGATCTCGTTGAGTTTGATCCATACATTAATGATGCTTATGGTGCTGCTTATAATTATTATGATTTTGTTATCATTGCTGCTAAAGATTTGCTTAGTAAGGATGTGGATAAGAAGAATTATGCATTAGGGACAATATCCCATGAGTTGATGCACTACACGATGCATCAGATCTACCAGAACAACATTAATCCATACGATAATAAAGACTACGAACGGAGGAAAATCATAAGAGACATTTACAGAAAGTATGAAGACATAAAAGATGAAGACAATCTAATTAGCACTGCTTATAAAGAAGAAGAAAATGAAAGTAATTATGGCGAGCTTATAGCTAGAGTTCCTGACATCTTATTCACTTACAGAGACAACAAGACACGACTAGAAGAAGTAAAAAGAACATTCAAAGATCTTTTCAAGTTTTACGACCAATATGTTCTAGCTGACATGCGAGAATTTATTCCGACAATGCACATACGTGAAAAGGTTAGAGAACTCAACAGCTGGCTTGATCTCGTCGCGGATATTGAAAGCTATGAGGTGGAAAATACAAAGGAAGAAGAAACAGAAACAGACGACGACGAGAATGCTGACGAGGACGATGAAAATAAAATCGATAGCAAAAAGGATGAAAAAGTGGAAAGCGAAGAGAATGAAGAGGAAGAGGAACTGCCAGAAATAAGTGAGATTCAAGAATATCTCGATGAAGACAGTCAACAGCGATTAAAAGTTTTTACATCCGAAAATCCAAAATTAATACTCCAGAAACTTTATTACAAGCTCCGAAAGTCCAAAACAATCGCGATTTATGTCGCAAGCTCATTTGCTTATTATGGTAATTTCGAGCAAGTCATGTATAAAATTGACACTATTCATCCAAGCGTTCCACTGATTATTAATTGTGATCGTGTTAAAAAGTTAAAGAAATTTGTTCAAATGCTTCAGAAGACGACATTTAGGAAGGTTGTGGCGATTGCTGATAATGATGAGTTTAGTAAGAATGTGAGGAATAAGGAGCTTAAGGAGTGGATGAGGGAGTCACAGTTTTGAGAGATAGGAGTGGATATTGAGTACAGTCTACTGTAAATAATCATATTGTAAGTTAAGTTTTGAAATAAAAGTAAGAATTCCAACAATATTAAGAAACTATGGACTAGAATTCTAGTTCAGACTAGAGTTCTAGACTCTGCTGTGTCTACCCGAATAGCACAAGTCAGTTAATCGAATAGAAATCAAGCGACAAGCTGGAATGGCTCTGGTATCGTGCTGGCTTCGGTTTAAATCCAGCACCATGCTAGAGTCACACCAGCTTATTGCCAGATTACTGATCAATTAACCGACTTGTGCCATTCGGACCATTTATTCCTTACTAGCTTTGACAACCTCAATATACTTTGTATAGTTCAATAAAGTCGAGAAATCATCTAAAGAAACCATTACAAAAGGTTAGCAAACCTCCCCAACTCCTATTCCCAAAGATTCCATCACTTCCTTAAAGAATCTATTTTTCATTGCCATATTATCATCAATACTAAGGCATTAGACAGTTATGATCTCGTTAAAAATAAGAAAAATATCAAGTAATGACATCAAGTCTATAGATAATGGAGATGTGTCTATCGGCGTCAGTGTATCTGCTTCCAATTCTTTTGTTATTTATTCTTTCCATAGAAGCTTCTTCTTCCTTACAATTTGTCAGAGTAAATGTCTTGGAAATTTGTTTTGAGAAAAAAAAGAAGAACAAGTCACACAACAGCATTGTTGTTGTGTCTATTTTAACAAATTTTTGTCATCATCATCATCGTCATTGTTTGCCATTGTGCTGTCTTCCTATAAAATAATAACAGATTTTTAACATTTTCTTCTTATTTAATGCAGCTTCCTTTAAGTTACAGAGCTGTCGTGGCGATGGTGAATAGACAGCTAATTAAGTGCTGCAAGAAATGAGCTGAATTTCAATTAGATCGCTTACAGCCCTCGTTATTTGCTTTGTTTCTGCCACAAGATGGAAACATTTTTGGTGTACGGAATGAGGAAATGAAGAAGGAATAAGCTATAGGTCAGCGGTGAAATGGCATCAGTGACCTAAATGGTAGAGCGTTGGCCTTACGTGCCAAAGGTCCTGGGTTCAATCCCAGGCCATGTCTAATTTTCGAAGCTCTTTTTCCATTTAACCGTTCTAGTTACGAAGCTCGGTTCGTGTGTTGGGTGTAATATTGATGTCTTTGGCATGGAACATGCCTCCTTTGCTAGGTATACAAGGATATACTAGCATCTGGATGACTTCCTTACGGCATCTTGCGCACACGGATTGTGACTAGGTACATTGCAGGGTACATCAGGTCATATGACGTATTCGTGTCTTTGCAATGTACAGAGCTTGCAAGTGGTTCGGATCCCACTATAAACTGTAGGTCTAAAGGGTGTGGTACAATAGATTCTGTTCTAATTTGAATCGCAGTGCCTCCAGCTGAAAAGGCTGGGCCCTTCACACATTATATATATATAGGTCAGCAGCAGAAATGCCACACACAATTGATAATTAGATATTTTTGGTGGTAGATGATTGAAAGAAAGGAACCTTGAACTGGAACATGGTTTAGTTCTATTGCTGCCCACATAAAAAATTTTGTTGATGTGATTTATGGCGGGAAAACTTTTTTGGCGGGAAATTAATTTTTGTGGATTTCCGTGCGATTAGCCTGAATTTTTATGAAACTATATGAATGATTTCATCCCGAGCAGCACACTGCAATTAAGTGGCAGTCATTTGGTTCTCTTAAAACTTGAAATTTTTAAAAATTCAGCTAGCTTTTGTATAAAAGAAGGAGTTGACCATTTCAGACTAATTTTTCGCATGACTCATGTGCTCCTCGGGTCAGAAAAAATTTCTAACCTCAAACAAAATTTTAATCCATAAAACAAAAGTCTAATCTACTAATTATCTTACTTACTCGCTCGATCAGACTTACTCATATCTAGTGAAAATTCATCAAAAAAAGCCTATTCATAAGCACATTAACCTACATATAAGAATGAATGCAGACTTTTTGCAACTTTATCAACTAATCGATCAACATAAAAACTCTTGTTTTTTGACGATTGCGCAATTTTTGTATGAATTCAATGAATCACTTTTGTGGTCGGGCTTAAAATTGAGGTGAATAATTAGAAAATAATGCAAAAAAAAGGTTTTCTTTTACGCTCTAATCTTTCCAAAATAGTTGTTGAATTCTATTCATGAACAAAATAGACGTGAAATTTTTGCTGCTACTTTTTTTTCGTTAAAGTTATTTTTTAATTGCTAAAACGTGTGTGGCTTTCTATGACCTTGATTCATGTGGAGGTAAATGTGGGTAAAATAATTAATTGAATTTATTCTTTTGTGGAACTTTTTTTTGGGGGCTTTTTTTGATTAAATAATTCTACTAAACAGAATTGAGAATTTTAGAAAAGATTTTTGTATTCCTTTTGCTGAAACTTTAGTGGAAGCATGTAGTGCAGGTTTCTATGGTCATCAAGAGTGCTTACTCCGATCATAAAATCCCCAAGGGGTCGTTCACTTATGACGTCCGAAATTAACGGTCATTTTTCAAAAAAGAACAATGGATTTCCAGGAATTTCTATTGTTCTTTTCTTGCTGCACCCCCCCCCCCCCTTTCCCCCCCTTAGACGACATAAATAAACGGCCCCAAACGATAACATTTTTTTATCCTGAGAGGACCCATAAATCACCATCAGTCACAAGACAACCCCAAACTTCCTACTCCAAAGCTTCATCCTTACAAAGACAATCCCTTTTTTTCCACTAATCCAAACTCATCATTCTTGTGACATAAAAAAAAAACTTTCGACTCAATCCACAAAACAATAAATATTTATCTTTGACTCGTGACAATGAACAAGGTCCCCATTTTTTTTGGGAGACAATACGACTGCAAAGCACGCACACGACAGAAAATTGTCAGCAATAAATTGTCGACTTGCTTAAGGATTTACTTGACAATGAGCAGAATGCTGGAAAAATTACTTTATGGATGCCATTAAGTTGATCTCGTTTTGGCGCGTAATTGTCGGTTCCTTTTTGAAAATATTTCACATAAATTACGTCAATTAATTTGATTTGTTTACCACTGTAGGATTTTATTGCATTCCATGGATATTTATTTGTGGTCTGCATCACTGCTCACTTTCAATATATTGACCATAAAAAAATCGAGTGTCATGTAATCACTACTGCACTGCCCGAAGCGATTTTCATAGCACATAAACGTCAATTAATTAGCGGAAGACAGCAATCAACATTGCGATGTGCCAATCAATTGACAATAAAAAGGAATTGTGAATATATTAATTTTTTTTGGAATTGTCTCACGAAATTGAGATGAAATTGAACAAAAGTGAAACTCAAATTTCACATGAATTATTGTTAAACAACATATGTGTGTCATATCTACATGAAATCGTGGATTAGATGTGTTAATAATTATGATCAGGTATAGAAAGATTGTTCGAGAGGTATTTGGAATGTTTGAGAATGTGAAAAAAAAATAAAAACTTAAGTTAAATTTAGAGCTAGCTTTAGGGTTTATGATACAAAAAGGAAATTATTCATACAAAATTATGAAAAGCATAAAATCTGATACGAACAATTCGATGGTTTCAAACGTTCCAAGAAAACTTGTGAAAATATCTTATTTGTCTGTCAGCCATACAAAATTCGATGTTTCATACCCTGCAGTTCGAAATTTTCGAAAATTAGGAAAAAATTAAAACTTAAATTAAGAAAGATTTATATGAAATTTAGATGAAAATATTATGGAGTCATTTAATGATAAGCATAATATAGATAAATCTTTTTCAAAACGATCAAAAACTATAATAAAACCAATAAAATTGTAACGGTTTTTTTTCAAATTTAATTTTTTCGAACGTGCATATTATAACTCCCCTAGACTTTCGATAAGTCTGTCGAACATGAATTGTTCGTATCAGCATAAAATTACAATCATTTATGCAGAATTTCTATGTTTCGAACCCATTGCTTATGAGATTATTCAGTTCATTTACAATTTTGATATGCACAAAGATTGTTAAATGACTTATTAAAGTTTCAATTTTTTAAAAGTCACAAATCTTCTAATTAAAATATTCCAACTTAAAACTTATTTTCAATTTTTTCCTCATTCATCCAACATTATGTGCAAACTATTCAGCACACAAAAACAACAACTTTTAAAATGAATGAAAAAGTAATGTAAGAAGTAGCATGTTATGCAAGTTAATATGAAAGAAATACTCTTTTTGTTGTCTGCATTATAAAAAGTAAGAGTTTTCGGTCTAATTGTTTTATGACTTACTAAGCTAAAATAATTGTAGTGATGGCATGGATTATATTTATATTTTTACAGAAGATTTTTTACAATAAAATTTGAGTCTCTTTCGTGCAGTTTGAATTTAAGGAGTGGGAATCTGGGGTGTGTTCAGAAATATGAAGATTTTATGAGACATACGTTTGGTCTTAAGAGTCTGTCATAGCTTTAATCTTGAAGTATCGTAGATTATTACTAGAATACCCCATTCAAGTATGAATCCCTTAAAACTAGATTCAAAAAATGCACTTTATACACAAAATCTCAAATTACTCTCCAACTTCCTTGAATTCCAACAATGAGCGCATCTATGTCCACTAATTAATCATGACTTTAATCTCTAAATTCTTCAATTTGTAAAGAAACACCAATTACGATCTTTATGAGATGATTACGATCATGTCACTGATTTATACGCACGAATAATCACATATAAGCAATTAATCAGAGCATTTACGAGCGTCCGTCATAAAATTATCAGCCTCATTATTTCCCCAATGCCTTTCTTTAATAGTTTTGTGGGTCGTTGAATCACCACATCATGTTATTAAGGATTCAAACTAGGTGAATGCCGAGAAGAATAAGAAAGTCTTTATCGTCGTTGTCGTGGCAGCAAACAACAAACTTAATTAAATTTTCATGCACATAAAAATGAATAATAAAGTAATATTCTCGGTTTTTTATTTGTCTGTGCTGCACGCTTGGCTGTAGCTTTACACCTAGCAAATGCACATGGAAATCCCCAAAAG